CTACTGGAGACAAATGCATGGATAAGAATCTCCAGGTCTGCTTTAGACACTATGTTTTTGATCCTGGCAATGTTTTTTAGATGGTAAAAAGCTGCTGATGTTACTGATTTGATGTGGCTATTAAAATTTAAGTCTGAGTCCAGTATTACCCCTAGATTTCTGACCTTGTTTGAAAGTTTTAGGGAGAGAGACTGTAGGTGACAGATGACGCTCTCTTTGTTTCTGGGGACCAAAGACAATCATTTCAGTTTTGTCTGCGTAGAAGCACAATGAAAATTTGTATTTTTATTTTTATTTTTATTTGTATGTTGTATTTGTATGTTCTATTATGATACATTAATATTTCAAAGTATAAAATAATGTGAATCTCTTAACTCAAGATTACTCTGAAATGCTAATTTTCCAAATTGAAACCCACGTTAAATATGTATTCTAGTCACACATGCATCACCTTAAAAAGGTTAGAAGCTGGATAAAACATTCCTGTAAACTTATTATTTCAAATAATAAAAGTTCCTCCCCGCTTCCCTTGTATCAAACACCTTTTTAATGTAGAATAACTTTGGAGCCCAGTTAACTCAACTGAACATTTCAGAGTGCATCCTATGTCCTTTATATTTTGCAGCTGCTTTGATGTTTGACACGGTACAAATAATAGCTGGTGAGAGCGTGTATGTGCTCCCTCCAGGATGATCAAGCCTGATATTTGCTGCACTAAAGGAGAGAGGAGAGAGGAGAGAGGAGAGGGGAGAGAGGAGAGAGGAGAGAGGAGAGAGGGAGCAAAGTATGACGATGCTAGCGGCAGAAAGGGACTGAGATATTTGGGAGATAGCCAAACAAACCCTTAAATATATCATTTAGAAAATCAAGTTGACTGTCGATCTTGTTGCTATAGTTCCAAATTTCAAAAAGCTATTCTAGATGAATGCGAAAAAATAGAAAATAACTTGCTTGTTAAAACTTCCGGCAAAGTGCTAGGCGGACCGTTCAAAGGGGCCAAACACAAACTAGTGTTGAGTCAATTTTGGGCTTGTTAGGCTAACTCCAGCTCGATTTGATTTTCCACTGGAGTCGAGATTCAAGGAGCGCTTGGATCCAAGAATAAACATAACCTTTCTCTGTCAGCCCAGCAGGGAGGCAGGATAATTTGTGTGCCTGTTTTTTTTTCTGTGTTATTCAAGCAAACTGTCATAATTACAAGGCCTGCAAGAGAGAAAAGGGGGTTTGCAGAGTTTGGCCTATATACCTCAAAATGTCAAATCAAAGCATGCATTTGTTTTAAGGAGCAAACCAAATAACATACTTTTTCCAGACCAAACAGTCAGAAACAAACATGTGTTCGTTGCACAACATAATAGCAACTAAGTAATCAGAAAATGCAAGCTTTCAGTTGTCAATTATTTACACTGTTGAACAATGAAGTGAAAGAATTGAAATATTTAGGCCTATTTCTGCAGTCGGGCCAGCTATTTGAAAGTCACATTGAGAAACAACAAAAACAAGTTTGTATTGATTCAGGTTGATTAGAGACTATCTACCTTTTAACGCAGCAAATATCTTCCTACACTCCATAATTTATTGTAAAATTTGTTAATGCCTCAGCTGCAGGTCTAAGGCAAGAATATTTAAACAGTTGGTCTAAAAATGTTGTATTTCACGTGTTGATTGTTTACACAAAACAGAAATAGGGGAAAATAATGGTTTTGCAAATAAAGCGCATACCTTGAAATTAGATATGATGAATACTTTTTGTGAGGGGCGACAGTAGCTCAGTTGGTAGAGCATTGGCCTTAAGGCCAGAAGGTCGTGGGTTCAATTCCCACCTCTACACCTTCTCCACCGACTCCCACTGATGACTGCTGTTGTTGTGTCCTTGGGCAAGACACTTAACCCCACTTTGCCCAAAGCCCCCGCTGGAAGATCTCAGCTCCTGTGGACTCACCACCCGCAGAGGATCAGTGAGGGGCTGGTGCTATGAGACTTGGGTGGCATCTCTGACTGCCACCCCCCTGACCCAGAAATGGATTAAAGGGTAGAAAATGGATGGATGGATGAATACTTTTTGTGTTTGTTTCTTCCAATTCCAAAAGAAGCAAAGAATCTGAACGTATACTTAAAGTCACAGATATCACATGTAAACAAAAGGTCTCTTTTTTTGTAAAGTAGTGTGAATGGTTTATCTGTACACAAATCACAGAAGTCCATCAATCAAAATGTAATTCAAAATGCTTCACAAAAGCAATTTAAAAACACAGATCAAAATGAATTAAAAAAGAAAAAAACAAAAAGGTCAATAAGAGTAGATCATGAGAAGTGGGGCTGGAAACGATAGTCTTAATGATAGAGCTATGATAGAGTTAATGATCCCTAATTCTACAAAAAGCAGAGGGCCCAAATCCACAGAAGAAGAAAGTTCTTTTGATATTAATTGGTTGAGATAACGTGAGGATCTTCTGGTGATAATGGAGGTTAAATTCAGGGCCATTTTCACTTTCAGGCATGTAATCTCAGACTTGCCCGTGAAGTACTGTTCAGCAGCCGCATATTAGGAGCTCATTACAGTCCCAGTTGGAGTGATAATTGAAGTGAGCGTGGAGGCAAAGACAGGATTTGTATCAGCACGAGCATCAAAGGACAGAGGGGTCCCGTCCATCCTGTTTGGTGTCATTCACTGTAAATTCAACATCACCTTGAAAATAGCGCCTTTTCACAAACACAGAAGTCACGTTTCATCAGCATATAACCGACTTTGTACGACAAGAATTTGATTTTACGCATAATATAAAGTGTATGGTAGTGTGACACATGTTCATTTTAGCGTTGTAGCTATACATTGTAATAGTACGGAAGAGCATTGTTGTCAGACAAAAAAAAGAAAGTAAAAAAAGAAAAGAAAAAAAGAAAAAGACAATCTCATAATTATGAGTTAACTATGTCGTAATTATGAGCTAATTAAATCATGTATTTTTGTTTTTTTTGTTTTTTTTTACATATTTTTTTGTGTGTGACAACAATGCTCTTCCGTATAACAGTTATCAAATATTCCACTAATCTTTAAACTTTTTTCCTCCCTTTAATTTAGATTTGTGATTTAATAAAATTGTAACTCAGGGCTGGATTGTAAGGACTGTATAAATACAACACATATTTATTTGAAATTTCAGCAGCAACAACCTCATTATTTGTGCTTGTTGGTATATTTCATAATGTATTAGGATTAATCACAATAAAAACCCTCACCACACCGCAAAAAACTCCTAATAAATGAGACGGAAGCTGTTGTGGAAGAGCCAAATCAATGGAAGTAAATCAGACTGAATCAGAATCTGGTAAGAAACAGACCTACTGCACATTCCTCCCCACCGTGGCGTGCATTATCCCCCACATGGACTTTTTCACTCTTGTTGTAGTAGGTAAAATAAAAAAAGGTCAGTTGTATATTACTATGTCTGAAAATAACACGGGGTGGTGCTCGGTGGAATGAGTACGTCAATGATAACATGAATTCAAATAAGACTTAGTTCTTTTGTTAAAATACTCTTGCTCTGAAAAAATCAATGACTTCAATGCCATCCAAATGTTGGCTACTTGGTGTTAATAAAGTTATATAAAATAAAGTAAATAAAATCCTTTATTGGACAAAATCGAATGTAGATCTGAGTTTGTCTTGGCACATTTCTTGTCTCTGTTGGACTTGAGAAAACTTCAATATTTATAGTACACTATTGTCTTCCGCCTGTCAGCCTTGATACAATCTATGCTGCAATTGCCTGTTATTGCCATCGCACAACAGCATTATTTCAGATAAAAAGCTACTTTCATGCTTTGTTACTGATGCTAAGGCGACATGACCCCTCTTTGCATTAAACTTGATGTACATTACATACTGCACAGTTAGTGAACTGTAATGAAGTTCAAGAATGAGGTCCAGGGGGAAACCTGGACTCAGGCCGGCAGTCTGATTCCAGATTTTTATCTCAGTGGTTTTATTTTAATTGGGATTGCTCCAGGGTGAGACTTAACTGGGATGATTCAAAGCAAGACGTTAAGAATGAGTTAAAATCATCAGCACTTTTCGTCCTGTAGATAAAACTGATTTACTCAAGTCAATGCACCCAACAGAGATGAAGATGACTCTCGGTGCTTAATGGAAAAGTAAATGGAAAAATGTTTCATCAGTGCAGACTTTTCCATTCTCATGAATAAAACCACTGCCCACAAATAACTGTTTAATACACTGGTGGCGTGTCAGTTGTCAAAAGCACAGAACATCTAAATGAGTTAAATGAAGGGTCATGATTTAAAAGCGATTATATGGAGTCTGAGGAGAGTTATAATGCGTTTTAATTTGAAGTTGCAATATACATGAAGCAGTGAAGGAAAGTTCAAAATAGCATGTGCCATCATCATAAAAGGTCATAATCACAAATGATGGCAGCGTGAGCCATCTGTCTTCACTACAATATTTGACAGCATTATTTTATTGTCTTGTAGAACACTAAGCCTATAATACAGAAAATGCCTTGTTGTTAATCCTGTACTTTGGAGAAGGTCCACTGATAGAGCTTTCATATATTGGCATTGTTGTGGTGTAGATTCAACAGCAACTCAACAATATGTTAGGAAATATGTTTTTTTTTTTTTTATATGATCAGATAAATGTGTTATTTCTGGCAATATTGAGTAACATGAAAATCAAAGAGAAGACAATTTACTTGCTTGAAATTCAATATTGAGATTTTTAAATGAATGACCTTTCTATGTTGATTATATTCCTGCTAGAAATGCACAGTTTTAACACCTCAGGCATGTCATTGTCTGTCATTTTGGCTCATTGAACAGCTCTCACTAATTCTTCTGACATTTACCAAGTCAAATCGAGCGGTGTGAGCCTGTATTCTGCGTCTCCACTTGTCTGTTTTGTGGCATTTGGGCGGATCGTGTTTAATTCCCGCGGTAGGAAACAGAGATAAAGGAGCTCTTTCATGCTGTTCTGAGCCTCACCCGTAGATGCAGGAGATGTCGATGACCACGTCAATCATGTCGCAGCACAGCTCATAGGTCTGCATGTCCACCGGGCTGCTGTCCGTCGCTACGTAGATCTTACTCACTATGTCGAACAGGAAGGCCTTCTCGATGCCCGAGTTCTGCAACAGAATAAGGAGTTTATGAACAAACACGTTGAGAAATTATTGTTGCAAATAAGACACAATTTCTGTTGTCTAAACACTAGAACTCCCAGAGCAGTCAATTTGAAGGCTTTTACAGGTAGTTTTGAAAGAGAGCATTTACATGTTTGGTCTTTATAACTTTCTGTCTTTTTTTGTTTCTATGTGTAGTTAATTTCCAAGCCATTATTTTTATATAACAAACTGTTTTTTCTGTGGTGAGCACGGTGGATAGTGGAAAGTGGATAGCACTCTCGCCTCTCAGTAAGAAGGTCCTCGGTTCGAATCCCTTTCTGTGTGGAGTTTGCATGTTCTTCCTGTGTAGGTTTCCTGCGGGTACTCCGGTTTCCCCTCCCACTAAAAACATGGCATGCGCCTCCTGTACTGGCGACCCCGCTCCCATCCCTGTGTGGAGTGAGAGGACAAATGCCCAAAAATAACAATTGTAAACCACTTTGACTCTGGTCTGTGAAAGGCGGTAAATAAATAAAGATTACTTACTTACTGTGTTGCTGTCAAGTTGTATACACCAGTCGTAGTTCTTAGTGAAAGTGAGTTAAGGTTGAAAAAAAAACTTTAACTTCTTTGAGAGTTAAGTTAAAAACATTAAAACACCACGACCATAGCCTCCCTTTTCTCAACTTCCACAACTTTCACAGCCCAGAGCACAGTTTTAGTCATCTTACGCAAACAAGGCCCAAAACAAAATGTCTTCGAGCTAAAGCTTTTGACATCAACACTTGTTTTACCGTGGCGTAGAGATCTCAAACTTGGCCTGGCTGGTGACATCATGAGGAAACCCACATTCACTGCTGTTGTCGGGCCAAACCAAATACATGTCCATTGGGAAATTTTGCATTATGGCTTATGAAAATATATGTTGAACATGAAATCATCTATATATTTTCAATCAAAATATATGTTGAACATGAAATCATCTCGGGCGACAGTAGCTCAGTTACTAGAGCATTGGCCTTTGGGCCTGAAGGTCGTGGGTTCGAGCCCATCGTAAGACCTACTTCACGACTCCCACTGATGACTGCTGTCGTTGTGTCCTTGGGCAAGACACTTAACCCTACTTTGCCCAAAGCCCCAACTGAAAGATCTCAGCTCCTGTGGACTCACCACCTGCAGGAGGATCAGTGAGGGGCTGGTGCTATGTGTCCTGGGTGCAGCTCTGGCTGCCACCCCCCCGACCCAGAAATGGATTAAGAGGAAGAAAATGGATGGATGGATGGATGGATGAAATCATCTTTAATCCAACACAAATCGGCATATTATAAAACGTTTTAACATTGTTTTTGTATATTATAAGTACACTAAACTAAACAAATCAGTTTAAAGCATCTATAATTGCCACAAACAGAGAGTCTGTATAGGATTAAGGAGTAACTGCATAAATGATGAATGCTGCTTTAAAGTGATTCAAATCCTTTAGAACACGGGAAAAAAGGTAATTCTTCCAAAAGCATTTTGTAACCCGCTTTCTCTTTGAAGACTTGGGTGAAAAGAACAAACAAAACGTACATAAAACAGCAAAGAATGAAGCTTATTTGGAAGTTAAGTACAACTGCTTTATCAGAACTTGTGCAGCAGCTGCTCAAAGACACAGGGCTGTCAGAGAGTGCGCTTGTCTCCCACAACTATGACGAGAACCATAACTCGAACGCAAGCACTTTTAAAGATTACAAACAAGGGCTAAAAGTGCAATAGAACACACTTTCTGTTTTATCTCTAGAGCTTAGAGTGCTTAGTGTAGAGTAGAAAGGCTGCTCAATTATGTGGCATGTTACTTAGAGGTGGCAATAGTCTACCCAAAATTAATCATCCTATCATCAGGTGAAACACACATTCTAGAAGACAGGGACTTTCTAATGCATGTGATTAATATTTGATGAAACACTTGGGAGGGTCATTTTGCAAATGCATATCTGCATGTGGACTGCTACAAAAGATGATGAATTACTATTCCATGTGGCCTAAATATAAAACAAGAAACTATAATAGAAAATAGTCAACATACAAGTAGGAAGGTATACTTTTTAATCTTGAGTGTAACAAACCTGTAGGTCAAATATTAAAACTGGAAAACCATTGTTTGTGTTTGTTTCTTAAATAAATAGTGTTTGTCCCAAGAGGTCTTGTTAAACCCATTAAGGCCTGACACACCTGGTAAAAGACCTGTAAAACCTATGGCCGACTTTAAAACCACCTCCAAAACCTGAAGTTTTCCTGAAATTCAACCTCTACTAAATGAGTGATATCTCAGCCTTTGTTGGAGATAGAAACATAATTTCAAAAGAATTTGAGAGCTGACACTTGTGGCTTCAGTAGAATAATTAAAAAAATATAACTTCCACACAGGAAATGTAATAAAACAACCAAAAATAATGTGAGACTAACACATGTTTCTCTATACAATAAATCAAAAATAGTTTGGCAATAAAGTGGCACTAACTGTATGGAAAAAAAAAAACATAAGAAAATCAAGTCAAATAAGTCAAATAATGACTCACAGGGCTCTGTCTTAAGTAAGCAAAATAAAAAAAAACACAACTGTTGTGGTTTGTTCTGTTTGATTTGTTCACAACATTTTACTTTTGTGCACAAATAACATGCATGGTCAATGCAAGCGAAAATGTAGGTACCTGAGCTTGAATTCGGTGAGTTCTGGCTGTGCTTTTTGAGGAGACTAGGGGGGATGATGGGGGAAGAGACGGAGGAGACAGACAAGACCCGCACGTGCAAAAAGCTGGGGATGGCCCTGATCACGCGTGTATGATTCTGTCCGCGCATGATAATTCTCATCCCTGGTATATGATGATGCATTTCATTGGTCAAGAAAATTGATCAAGAAAGAGAATAGGTCAAAGAAAGAAAAAAAGATGTGTCCGCTTTCCCGGCCTCAAAGGTAGAAGTGCGCAACAGCCGGGAGCGGCTTGAAATGTAAAAACGCAGGAATGCGTTCCCGGCCTCAATGGGTTAAACAAATCAGTCCTCTCCATGCTGTTGTTATCTTATTAGAAAACATTTGATCCTTTACATACTGCGAGCTGAGGCTGAGTGAGGGCTGGTGCTTTTAGACTGAATGATAAAAATGAAAGATAAGATATTCCCATACAAGTACTATACAGGCCTTTACACGGCCTGAACATTGTTAAAAATGCTAGAAATTTTACTCAGATTGTAATTTTGTATTTGGGGATTCTGTGGATGTGAACATTTTCATGTCTACAATAGTTTGCAGAGTACATTAGGCTATCATCAAAAAAGGTTGGTTCGCCTAAAGAAAACACATAAAAATTATGTATATAGAACATAATTACTTAAGAAGCAAATAAACATAATCAAATGCAACTTCAACTTTTTATTGACACCATGGAGCAAAGTTTATGTCTAGAAAACAAAAAACAAATTATCATAACAAATTATGCAGGTTTTGATGTGAAAAATCCAGGCGGAAATGCATTTGGCAGTTTGGACCAATTTGGCACAAAAAAAGAAAAAACGTGGAATATCTCGATGAAACTGAAACATTTAGATGCTGTTACATATTTGGTTAAAAGAAAGCATTTTTTTCATATATAAAAAAAAAAAGTTTTATAAAAACTCACGCCGTGCGTCTCCTCGCGTCAAAGTCGACACAAGCTTAAGGGCCTGTAATTTTCATCATAGGTATACCTCAACTATAAAACGTGCCTGGGTCTTTCAGCATAACAATGATCCCAATCACGCGGGAAACAACAGAGTGGCGTCGTAAGAAGCATTTCAAGGTCCTGGAGTGGCCTAGCCAGTCTCCAGATCTCAACCCCATAAAAAAATCTTTGGAGGGAGTTGAAAGTCTGTGTTGCCCAGCAACAGGCTCAAAATGCTCTAGAGGACATCTGCATGGAAGAATGGGCCAAAATACCAGCAACAGTTTGTGAAAACCTTTGTGAAGACTTACAGAAAACGTTTGTGCTCTGTCATTGCCAACAAAAGTTATATAACAAAGTATTGAGATGAACTTTTGTTATTGACCAAATACTTATTTTCCACCATAATTCTTTAAATATCGACAATGCGATTTCTGGATTTTTTTCTTATTCTGTCTCTCATAATTGAGGTTTACCTATGATTAAAATTACAGGCTTCCCTAATCTTTTTAAGAGGCAGAACTTGCACACTTGGTGGCTGACTAAATACGTTGTTGACTCACTGTTCGTAAAATTCATATTATTATTTAATATTTATGAATATTTTCTTGCAGCACTAATCTGTACACCTTCAAGAAATCAAGAAAACACATATGGGAAATTTAGGAAAACAAGACCATGCAGATTTGCAATATTGAAAACATCAGCAATATGATAGAAATATGAAACAACTTTTCATCTTGTATGTCACCTAATAATTTTGTGTGAATGCTCATGCACTTTGAATGCTCATGCACTTTGCTTATCACAAGCAGCGTTTCCGTCGAATTGTTATTCACGCGGGTGGTAATGACGTTCGGCGGAAACAGTCCGAGGTGTTGAAGCTGCAAGTCGCCGCCGTGTGCAAGCTGGCTAGCACAATGGCCGACACTGTCATCTTCTCTGGGCCCCTACCTAGCACTAGCAGTGCAGAAGCATTCAGCAGACACTCGGCTTTCAACCGCTGGCTGTCTGGCTGGTGCCCTCGAAGTGGTGTTGTTCATGTTGACAATTGGAGTGCCTTTTGGGGAAAGCCCGGTCTCATCCGCTCGGATGATATCCACCCAACGTTGGCGGGTACATCCCTTTTGGCTAAGAATTTGGCCCTGGCTCTAAACTGTTCTGCTCGGCTCAAATGACGGTGCAGAACTGAGGCCCGGGTGCAGAGCTGCTCTGCCACAACCTCTGAGCCCCCATCTGTTCAGTTACTAGCCTCAGAGGCTAGTCAGATTGAAACTGTGTGTGCATGTGTGTGTGTGCCTGTGTGTGCTCAGTTACTAGCCTCAGAACCTAGTCAGATTGAAA